GAGAGAGAGAGAGAGAGAGAGAGAGAGAGAGAGAGAGAGAGAGAGAGAGAGAGAGTGGCTAGGGAGCAGTGCGTTGTGGGGGGTCAGGAAGTCGGCTGCTTTGAGCGATGGCGTTCGACGAGCCGGGGCCCAGCGGGGCGTCAGGCGACAACGTTTTTGCCAAGGGTCCTCCTGCAGGTTACTTCCCGCCGCAGCAGGCACAGTACCCTCCTCCCTCCGCATTCAACGCTGTCCCAGCCAGCGGGATCCCCTTCAACCCCCCTCCACCTATCTCTCCAGGCGCACCTATGCCCGTAGCAACACCCATGCCCATGGCTGCTCCTGGGTACTACCAATGCGTTGGATATCCCGCCGCCGCCGCCGTCGCCGCCGGCGTCGCTAATGCCAATGCCAACCCGCTCCCCGGCAGTGTTCACCTTGTCAGCCTCCCGTCTGCTTCTGCACCTAGGCAGTGGAGTGGCGCTCTGTGTGACTGCTGTCTGCCTGCGGCCGATGGATCCCCCGACGGCTGCGGTCTCTGCTGCCTTACCTTCTGGTGCTCCTGTGTGACCTTCGGCAGAACCGTGGAACGGGCGGGACTTGCAAAAGCTGCGCCGATGTCGGTGATCTACTTCACTGCAACGACGGGGCTGTTTGTGTTTCTCCTCGTGATTGCTTCCATATTGAATAGAGACAAGAATGGTGACGGGGAGGCGGATTACACCACTGGCGGCGTGGTACTGGAGGTTCTTGCGCTGGTCTTCCTGTTCCTTGCAATGGGATTGATCGGCGGCTATTACCGACGTGCCATGAGGAAGAAGTTCATGTTTGCAGGGAGCGATGGGACCGACTGCCTCACGCACGCGTGTTGCTGCTGTTGCGTACTGTGTCAAGAGTACAGGACGATGGCGAGCAATGTCACCAAGGGGGTCTGGACAGGAGGTCCCGTCCATGCGGTCTCGGTTGTCATCCCGCCCGTGATTCAACAAATGCGCTCCTAACGGGCAAGCGGTTTGGGTCTTCTTCCTCTTCGTCTTCCTCTTCTCCTTCTTCGTCGTCGTCTTCGTCGCCTTGGTCTTCTGCAGCTCTGCTTCGTCTCTGTAGGAACGGAGATAAGTGTTTTTTGTTTTCTTCTTCTTCTTCTTCTTCTTCTTCTTCTTCTTCTTCTTCGTCGTCGTCGTCGTCTGCTCTCTCTCTGTGTGTCTTCTTATTCGTCTTCGTCGTCTTCGTCTTCTGCTTCGTCTCTGTAGGGAATGGAGATAACTGTTTTGCCTTCTTCTTCTTCTTCTTCTCTCTCTCTGTGTCTCTCTCTCTCTCTCTCTCTCTCTCTCTCTCTCTCTCTCTCTCTCTCTCTCTCTCTCTCTCTCTCTCTGTCTCTCTCTCTCTTTGTCTCTGTCTCTCTCTCTGTGTCTCTGTCTCTGTCTCTGTCCCTGTCTCTGTCTCTCTCTCTGAGCTGGGATAAGTGCTGTGAATATGTGTGTTTGTGCGTGTTGTCTCTCGCTTCTGTCTCCCCTCTCTCCTCTGTCTTCTCTCCCTTCTCCCTCTCCACTCTTCTCTCCCTTCTCTCTCCTCTCTCTTATCTCCCTCCTCTCTCTCCTCTCTCTCTCTCTCTGTGGATAAATGCGTGTGAAGTAGGAACGGTGAGATTCAGATTTGCGCTCGTGGACTCTCTCTCTCTCTCTCTCTCTCTCGCGCGCGCGCGCTCCTCTCTCCTCTCTCTCTCTCTCCTCTTCCTCTCTTCCTCTCCTCTCTGTGTGTGCATCCGTGTGTATGACAGTAGGAACGGTGCTATTGACATTTCGTCCTTCGATTGGCTCTCGCTGCTGGTGCTTCTGAGGCGTTACCTGTGTCGCTGCTGATTCCTGACTCTTGTCTCTGCTGTGGCGTGACACGTGTCATTCGGAGGGAGGAGATTCCAGGGATGATGAAAACGAACTAAGTACGGACTGTGCGGTGATTGTTGCATTGTTCTCAAGGGTTTGTTCTGATAGGACTTGAAGCTTTCGTCTGTCGCTTCCGTGTTTCTGCTGCTGCTGGCGGACACGTGTCGTTTGGAGGGTGGGTGGGACTAATGAATTGGAACCGGCGGCGATTGGAATGAGTCATCAAGTCTGTGTGTGGACTGGGTGGGGTCCCGATCAGGTGGATCCGTCTCGGTTGCCACCATCGGTCATCATCCCCTTGCTGTAGTTGATCAACGGGCGACCTTTTTTTTTTTTTTTTTTTTTTTTCGCCCTCGTAAACTGTAGGATCTTCTCTCTCTGCTGCTTGCTGGCGGACACGTGTCGTTGGGAGGGGTGGGAGTAATGAGTTGGAACTGGTGGCGATAGGAATGTCATCAAGTCTGTGTCTGGACTGAGTGGGGTCCCGATCAGGTGGATCCGTCTCGGTCGCCAGCTGATTCATCATCATCCCCTTGCCGACAGTTGATCAACGGGGGCGCTTTTTTTTTTTTTTTTTTTTTTTTAAATTCCCCCTCGTAGGCCGTAGGATCTTCTCTCTCTGGGAATTGCACCCTCCCCGCTGATGCATCTGTGGCAGTAGTCACGGGCAGATCCCTCCGTCCGTCCGATCGAGAATCTGGCCGTTTTTCCGGTTCCGATCTATTAGCTGATGCATGTCTGTGAACAATAATAATGGCATGGCGGTCAGAACCAGTCCAGAATAGCAAACTGCGTTCGTGAGGTTTTCCCCACCCTATATCTCTGTTCAAGAATCTGGCCGTTTTCCCGGTCCGATACGTTCGATGACGCACATTTGTGAAGGGCACTCATGGCTTCAGGATCAGTCGAGAAAGGCAAAATGCCTTCATCAGCTTTTCTCTGCCCTATTTCTCAGGTCGAGTTGTCAGAGATTAACTCTCAGGGGTGGTAGACATTGATTTTTTTTTTTTTTTTTTTTTTTTTTTTTTTTTT